ATATGCGGTAAAACAAAATAAACCAAAAATAAACCAAAGAATACATATTCTATTCATACGAATATATCCTAAAAAAAATAAAGGTTGAAATAAACCAAACCAATCTAAACCTAAAAAGAATACATATTCTATTCATACGAATCTATCCTAAAAAATGTTGTTTGCATTAAAAAACCCATTGAGCTTGATTGCCGTAAAAACAAAATAAACCAATTAAACCAAAGAATACATATTCTATTCATACGAATCTATCCTAAAAATATTGTCGGCATTAAATATACAATTGAGGTTGATAAAAAAAAATAAAATAAAATAAACCAAACCAATCTAAACCAAAGAATACATATTCTATTCATACGAATCTATCCTAAAAATCGGCATTAAATATGTTGATATGCCAAAAAAAAATAAAATTAAACCAAAAATAAACCAAAGAATACATATTCTATTTGAATCTATCCTAAAATGTTATGCATTAAATATAAAAAAAAAAAAAAATAAAATAAAATAAACCAAACCAATCTAAACCAAAGAATACATATTCTATTCATACGAATCTATCCTAAAAATGTTGTCGGCATTAAATAACCAATTGAGGTTGATATGCCAAAAAAAAGAAACAAGAAAATAAACCAAACCAATCTAAACCAAAGAATACATATTCTATTCATACGAATCTATCCTAAAAATGTTGTCGGCATTAAATAACCAATTGAGGTTGATATGCCAAAAAAAAGAAACAACAAAATAAACCAAACCAATCTAAACCAAAAAATACATATTCTATTCATACGAATCTATCCTAAAAATGTTGTCGGCATTAAATAACCCATTGAGCTTGATATGCCGTTAAACAAAATAAACCAAACCAATCTAAACCAAAGAATACATATTCTATTCATACGAATCTATCCTAAAAATGTTGTCGGCATTAAATAAGCCATTGATCTTGATATGCCGTAAAACAAAATAAACCAAACCAATCTAAACCAAAGAATACATATTCTATTCATACAAATCTATCCGAAAAATGTTGTCGGCATTAAATAACCAATTGAGGTTGATATGTCGTAAAACAAAATAAACCAAACCAATCTAAACCAAAGAATACATATTCTATATATACGAATCTATCCTAAAAATGTTGTCGGCATTAAATAACTCATTGAGGTTGATATGCCGTAAAACAAAATAAACCAAACTAATCTAAACCAAAGAATACATATTCTATTCATACGAATCTATCCTAAAGATGTTCTCAGCATTAAGGTTGATATACCATACAACAAAATAATTCACATAAACTCAAAATAGAATAAAAAACGATCATTTTTAACAAAGAAAATAGAACGAAATTTTAAACTAACTCAGCATCGTTTGGAATCCACCATATTCAGATGATGTCCATTCTCCAATTCAACCAATTCAGACCGAAATAACGTCACTTCAAAATGTTTTTTATTTATTTTTTTTTCTGTAAATATTTTCATTGTAATTGTTTTGATGAGCTTCTCTCTTTGATAGCTCAATTTTATGAATTTAATCGCAGTACGAAACGGGTGGTAGCACATTTTAGGTTCCCACCTATGAGAAAATAGTTACGCCCCCCACACCGCAAAAAAGAAGAAAATAAAAAATCAATAGTGTATTCTTATAATGAAATCAGTGATGTTTTTTATATCAAAATGACAAACAATGCATCAGTAAAAACATAAATTACATTTTAATATTAACATTACCAACAATACATTTTATGATTTGCAAACTATCTATCTAAAAACATACCTTTACTCTAGAAGCATAAAATTATATATGTAGTTGAGAACATAAACTTACGTAAAAATATTTAGATTTCTGCATTAAATAACCCATAGAGGTGTTGATATGTCGCTAAAAAAATCAAACAACCAGCACGGTACAAGATTGGCAGCTGCATCTCATTATACAATTGAAATTCCTAGTTGCAACCGTAAGTTCTATGCTGACAGTTTCTTCTCTCAAACATCTTTCTTGTGGAATTAACTTCTGGTACATTACTTTCCATTCAACCAAGCAAAGGCAAATATAACGTTTCTTGATTGTAAAGCTGTTCGTGGCCGGGCGTTCAAAGCACGCCGAATCAGACGGTGATTCCTCCTGTAAAGAGGGACGAAGGTTCGAATCCTGTGGAAGGCACGTTCCGTTTTTTTCAAGCTTTGTCGAGTAATTAACAGAACGTCTACTCAAATACGGGTATCCGACAAAAATAAAATTAGCCGTTTACGTACCTATGAACACAAAAGGATCTTATGCACATTAATTTATCAGGTGCATTAGTTATAGATAGAAATAAATTCAACTAAAGCTTTGGTCTAAAGAATGCCAAACTCATTAAAAGAGCACTTAACTTACCGAAACGGATAATTCTCGAGAGTGCCTATTCCGAAACTTACCAAAATATAAGTCTGCGTCCTCGATTTTACACCTTTCCCAATAATGTAAAGTTGTCCTGATGTTATATACAAAAATCTCCTGAGCCGACCAAGCATAGAAATGAATACATTATGGGAACCAGTAATAAGGAGTGCCAGAGAAAACCGATAAAAACAACAAAAATTGCAATATGAGCTCTGGTAAAAACATGTAATGATAACAGCAAAAATGAGCACTGAAGACATTAGGTTTATAATACTCAGAAATTCATACACACCTGTCCTCAAGGACACATGGGACAGTGGATAAAGGCGTTAGTTATATCCAGTAATAGAGTGTGAGTTCAATACGCGGTTAAGGCAGTGGAAAACTTGGGGAGTGGAATTAACAGGGGAACTAGAACAGTCTACCCCAGTGAGCAAAATAAAGTGTTCAGTTCGACATTCCAAACACCTGAAGAAGGTCGGAGCGTATAAGGACCGAAACGTTGTAATAAATATGTCGACAAAGATGAGAAGAATAGTCCGAATAATGTAAATAGAGTTAAATTCACAACCACCTTTTATTTAAAATGTATAATAAGAAATTATGTCACTTAGCATCCTCCATAATTTATCGAGACTTTTCAGCTAGACTGATGAATACTTATGAGCGGTTCCTAAAATTGAAAAAATTATTGAAAAATTATTTTTTATTTATGTTTATAATTTGAAAAATAAAGTCCATACGTTTGCCTTTGAAATCTTTGATTTTGTTTCTGCCAACTTATCCTAGGGATGCATACTCATTGGTCCCATTTATTTCTTTGTCCTCACTCTTTTAGCTTAATACCCCTTCCCCGTTATCATCTTGGGTATGACGATAAACTGCATCTGATAGCAAGCCCTCCTTTCGAGGAGCATAGAACCACATCTTAATTGGTAGTCCACCCTGGCCCGGGGTTGTAGCATCTGTCAGGGTCCCAGCTATGGGTAAATAGTTAAAACAAAAAGGATCAAAACACTATAAAAGTATAAGTGTAGGTTTTAAGACTAGCAATACCTTTTTGGAAAATTTATTACCAGCAGTACATTTTTGAAAAAGAAAAATATTACCAGCAATACATTCCGTCGTTAGTGCGCATGTGTAGTCGCACCAACATAACGAATTTAGTTCGCTGAAGTCCTAAAAAGCGAAACGTGTCACACGAAAACTTTTTCCACTTTTTCAAAGTTTTCCCCCAATATATATATATATATATATATATATATATATATGAAGAAAAATATACAGAAAAACAAACAAAATCTTAATATGCAATTATGCTGTATTAATGTTAATATAAAGTCAACGTCGGACGTTTCGGTCTATTTTAGACCATCATCAGGACATATTCATAAAACATAATTAACATTAGAACATATAAAATTCAACATGAAAAGACGATGGACATAAGAGCACAGTATTTTCTTCATACTGTCGGATCTATATCCATATATTTGCTTATATATATATATATATATATATATATATATATATATATATATATATATATATATATATATCGGGTGTAACAGCAAAAATGACCAAATCGTGTAACAACATAATTATCCAACCCACAAGATGTTTAATATCTAAAAACAGTAATTGGGTTTCTTTTTTCAAAGTTTTCAGACGTTTAGCCATGTTGACGACATTTGTTGTAAGAATCATTTTAAAACCCTTTGAGTTATTCAGCTAAAAAGCGATCATGTTAATTTTTTATGTCAAGCCCCCTGTCTTCCCAATTGAGCTATGGTGAGCGGAAAAAGATCATTCAGGCTTTTAGTAATGGTACCAACATTCATAGTTTGGCTTCCATCTTCAACGTTCATTCAAGAACCATCAAGAGTACTGTGGATAAGTTTTAAAAAGAGGGAACAGCAGAGAAGAAAACTAAATCAGGAGCTCACAACAGGTAGAGGAATCATTTTTTTAATTCTAAAGTTAAAAAAAAAACAATTAGAAAAGATCCAACTCAATCCATAAGACGTTTGGCAGCTGAGAGAGGAGTTTCACGTATGACAGTTAACCTATCGACACACGTCTAAAAAAGGCCGGATAACACAGCGTGATAATAACTAAAAATATGAGGACGCTAGCTCGACTGTGAATAATGTAAAATATACTATTTTTCTCTATTCTAATAATAATTCCTGTCATAGGATCAATGTTATTAGAATTTCTTTTGTATTAATGAGACTAAATCTGCTCTGAGCATAATAATTTCAGTAGTGGTAAGAACGTTCTTGCAAAAATAGCAATTCGCTTTTCGCCTGAAGAGAAATTTTATTGCATAACGTCATTTCCGTCATCGTCTTGTGCATAATGGGAACATCTTTAAAAACAACAACCTCCGGATAAAATCCTCGTGAAATTTCATAAAATCTATTTTCCCGATATCCTTTCTTTCTTTTCCTCCTGTTTTTCTTTGAACTGTTCTCCTGTTAATGATTTGAGGAAAACATGGGAGTTTTTAGAAATAACTGACTCTTTGTCAATCAAAGCACGTCAGTAATACGTTGCGACGGACCTGACGATGGCTAACGTATCGATTTTAACTCGAAGCAATGCTTTCGCAGGAGTTATCTTTCTTTCGTTTTCTTTTTATCCTTTTCGTTTTGATTGCTTTATTTTCTACTTAAGTTATGTTTTGCATTTTTCTTTCTTTTCTTTTTTTGCATTATTTCTTATAACTTTTATTCATTTTACTACGTTTCTTCATTTGTTTTCGTATTTTCGAAAGCTTTCTGAATTTTTACTTTCTTTTTTTTCTACGATTTTCTTTTCGATTTGTACATTTTTCTTTCTTCCGAACTATTATTCTTTCGTCCTTTCTTTTCTTTTCATTTTCTTTTAGAGCGTTTTATTCATTTTTTTCTCTGTAAGTCCTTTCTTTCTTTTCGTTTCTCGATTTACATTTCTCTTTCGTTCCGCTTCATTCTTTCCGTTTTTTCTTTCTATTGTTTCGACTTTTCTTTCTTTTTTTTTCATTCTACTTGTTTTCCTTCTTTTATTTTTTAAATTTCATTTTTTTTTAATCTTTTCTTTCTTCGTTTATTTTCACTCCTCCTTTTTTTAGTTTTACCCATTTTCTTTTTAGTTTCTATCTTTCTTTGTTAGGTTGCTTATTTTATTCTTTTTCTGATGATATTTTCTTTCTATTTTTACTTCAATTTATTTCTTTCATTTCTTTGTTTCCTTTTGTTATTTAATTCTTTCTTTCTTTCTTTTCCGTGCTTTTATTTTTCATTTTCCTAATGCATGTTTTTGATTGTTATATTTTCAGCCTTTCTTTCTTATTTTTACTTTGTTTTCTTTCATTATTCTTTATTGTTACTCTTTCTATTTCCTTCCTTCCATCTTTCCTTTCTTCCTTCCTTTCTTTTTTATTTCGTTTTTTTCTTTATTCTTTAATCTTTCTCCTACTTTTCATACTTCCTTACCTTCTTTCTACCTTTCTTTCATATTTCATCTTTCTTTCTTTTTCTTTCTTTCTTTCTTTCTTTCTTTGTTTCTTTCTTTCTTTCTTTCTTTCTATCTCTCTCTCTCTTTTCATACTTCCTTACCGTCTTTCTTTCTTTCTTTTTTATCTCTTTCTTTTTTCCTTCTTTTCTATCTCTTTCTTTCTTTCTCGCTTATTTTTCTATCTTTCTCTTTCTTTCTTTTGACGTTGTTTTCTTTCTTTATTCTTCATTTTCGTTCTTTCCGTTTCCTTCCTTCCTTTCTTTCTTTTTTTATTTTGGCTTTATCTCTTTCTTTATTTTTCAACGTCTTTTTTTTTCCGTCTTCTACTTTGCTTGCCTCTTTTCCTTCTTTTTTCATTTCTTTCTTCTACTTTATTTTCTTTCTTTTTTCTTCAACGTCATTGTTTCCGTTTTCTTACCTATTTTCCTTCTTTTTTCATTTCTTCCTTTCTTCCTTTTCAGTTCTTTCTTTCTTTCTTTCTTCCTTTTCATTTCTTTCTTTAGTTCCGTTTCCCTTTCTTTTTTTTTCTTCATTTCGGACTTTTTTTAGTTTCATTTCTGTTCTTTGTTGTCTTCTATTTCATTTATTCACTGACCTTCTCTCTTTCTCTCATTTTCCTTCCTTTTCTTCATACGCTATTTATCGTCGCAGTCTCCGCATTTCCAGATCGTTATTTCTTTCTCTCTCCCCTTTTCAAACTTTTCCTTTTATGTTTCATTTTCCAAGCTTCCCCTGGGGAGAATAGATCATATAATAACATGCCCACGTCTCTCTGAAACACGTACACAGTTTCATTTATGATTTAAAAAGCCACCAGCCAACCTACCTACTCATTATTTTATGCACTTAAATTTATAATTAACCCAGAGCAACTCTTAACACCTGGTAAAAATGAATTATATATTCTAATAATCCAGGCTATTATATGTTGTTCTAGTTGCGTCATACCTCCCTCTCTCTCTCTCTTTCTCTCTCTCTTTCTCTTTCTCTCTCTCTCTTTCTATCTATCTATCTATCTATCTATCTATCTATCTATCTATCTCCGAATCTCTCGTACTCTTTCTACTCACCTCTATACCTTTTACTTTCTCACTATCGTAGTCTTTCTCACCGTCTCTATACCTTTCACTTTCTTCCCCTCCTCTCTCAATCTCTCTCTTTCCCCCTCTCTCATTTTCGTACTCTTTCTCCCCCATCTCTATACCTTTCACTTACTCCCCTTCCTCTCTCACTCTTTCTATCTCTCTCTTTCTCCCTCTCTGTCTCCCTTTTCTCTTGCTTCCTTTCTCTTTCTCAATCTCTCTCTTTCCCCCTCTCTCTTTCTCTCATTTTCGTACTCTTTCTCCCCATCTCTATACCTTTCACTTACTCCCCTTCCTCTCTCACTCTTTCTATCTCTCTCTTTCTCCCTCTCTTTCCCCCTTTTCTCTTGCTTCCTTTCTCTTTCTCAAACTCTCAATTTTTCTACCTTTCTATCTATCTCTCTCTTTCTCCGAATCTCTCTCTTTCTCCCCTCTCTCTTTCTCTCATTTTCGTACTCTTTCTCCCCATCTCTATAGCTTTCACTTTCTCCCCCTCCCCTCTCACTCATTCTCTCTCTCTTTCTCTCTCTCTTTCTCCTTCTCTCTCTCCTTTCTGTCTTGCCCTCTCTTTTTCTCTCATCCCTATTTACGTCTTTTACTTGCTGCAGTGTAATTAAACTGTTTTTTTTCTCTTAGAATTCCTGGCAAAGATTTTCGTAAATGCAATAAATAAAGTAATAATGGCTGACAGCAAATAGCGAAACTTACTGCGTATTTGGTGAAGTAGTGGTTAATGGCTCAGAATTTATAATCGGCATGCCGAGTTCAAATTCCGGTCAAAACCACTGTCATACAAATCCCCATGGTAAAAGTCGGAATCAACCTATCAAATTACGAGGGCAAACTAGATTTTCTAGCCGTCTGTAGGCAACCAATATAGGAAAAGGACAAATTTAAAAACGCTACGTGTTCCTTGCCTTCAGTCATTTACCCGTCGCCGTCGCGTAACTTCTTTCTGTCTTTTCTATAAAAACTTTAATTCTTCTAAAGAATTATTTTCAGAGATTCTATTTTCATTAAAAGCCACTAATTTATGACTTTAATTTTGAATTTTTTCTTCATAAAAAGACGTAAAATTAAAAAAGATAAATTCATTTGAAATTGTTCGTTTATATGTTAGATATGAATGATTTTTATATTATCAATTGTTAGATATTAATGCTACTCTATAAGTTGTATTATGTAACATTTGATTATATACAAAAAAATATATATATATATATATATATATATATATATTTAATGTGTAATATAATAAAATAACAACGTTAAACATAATAAAATGTCTTTAATAAATAAATTGTCGGACCTTGTCCATTTCTTAATATATGACGTCATTTGTTTACATTTGATACGCCAGAGCAGTTATGAATGTACGAGATTCATGGAAGATTGGAGTTTATAAGCAGTAAATTCGACCTCGTCTATCGAACGGTTCTTTGTAGCCTAGAGGTAAGGCACGTCAGCGTATATGATGGTTCCGTATAGGATGCAGGTTCGAATCCTGTCAAAGAACGAATATTTTCTATGAAAATTTCTCGGACATTCAGGCCGGTAAATGTTATTTAATACTGTTTATCATAAACAGAGCATTTGCTTAAATACTTGTATCTATAAAATAACAACGTTAAACATAAAAAAAATGTCTTTAATATATATATATTAGGAAAATTTATGATAATATGAGAAAAATTCCGTCTGACGCGTTACATTCTATATTATTTCAACGGACTAATTTTTTACGCTCATGTGATTACACATGCACATGAAGGAGAGGGGACACTAAAGTTGTAAATATAATTTTTTATTGTTTATCATGTGTTTGGTTATAGATTCTCAGTTAGTTATGTGCCATACGTGATACACGCATAGGATGTCATGTATCTTTCGATACATGACTAACGAGGCGGATTTTTCCCCCGCAGTAGGTTGCCATTTCTTTCTGCGGTAGACCAGTTACCATCCAAGCCTAAAGAACCCGGTTTGCCTTGCTATTTATCCATAGCTGGGAGGGGGCGAGAAGAAGAGGATGTATACCTTTTCCCAAGGGTTTTACCACGTAAGTAAATGTAATGGATTTGACTGGAATGTCAGTCAGTCACTTATGGGCCATGCGCGATACACGCTTAGGCGATCATATCTTTCGAGAAAGGACTGATGAGGCAGATTTATTTTTCCCGCAGTAGGTTGCAATTTCTTTCTGCACTAGACCAACTGCGATCTAAAGCTATAGAACACAGTCTGATCTGCTATTTACCCATAGTTGGGGGGAGAAGAAGAGGATTCATACTTTTTCCAAGGGTATTAGTACGTAAGTGAATATAATGGATTCGACTGGAATTCGAACTCAGTTCTCAGACAGAACCGAGTTCGAATAGAGTCTAGAAAATATAATTTAGTTTCTTTTTCTTCTTAGTTTTATTTTGTTATCAAGCATTCCACACTGTTTATTTGTTTAGAGGCACATCAATTCCTCATGGGTCATTTAATGCCGAAGTTCATTGCAGGTATTTTCTTTTTTCAAAAATGTATTGCTGGCAATTTTTTTAACTATGAAAATGTATTAATGTTTTGTTGGGTTTTTTTACGACAAAAATGTATCTTTATAATTTCATAGAGTTTTGGCTCCAGTTTGGGTACTAACTATTTGCCCATAGTTGGGGCCCTAACAGGTGCTACCACCGCGGGTCAGGTTGGATCTGCGAACGACAGCAATTAAGAGGTGGTTCCACCTTCCTCAAGATCTCCAATCTCCCGATCAGAAGACTTGCTGCCGGATGTAGTTTATCGTCCACCCCAGGACGTCATTCCACTTTGTGATAATAGAATATCTGCCAAGATATAAATGTATAGATCTATCAAGATATACAAAAACAGATCTATCAAGATAAAGATACATAGATAAATATATATATATATATATATATATATATATATATATAGAGAGAGAGAGAGAGGATAAGAGAGAGAGAGACAGACAGACAGAAAGGGGGAGAGGGAGATGAGAAATAGTGGAATGATGAGAAAGAACACAGATTTCCATTTTGAGTACACTTCTGTGTGTCTCTGCCTGTTCGTAATTTGAATTCAATATTTTGAGGGTTATTAGCTACAATATCAACGTATTGATAAATTTTAATTGCCTTCTTGAGGAAGCGTTTTCGCTTTATTTCGAATTTCCACTTAAGGTTTAAAAGTTCGCGTCAAACTCTAAAAATTGCCCAAACGGCTGACCGTAAAATTAGCCGACTGCTGCCCATTCAGTGTGGTAAGGTCTCCCCCAAGGTTGAAATCATCCTTGTGCATAGTTCAGCACTCAGGCATAAATCCAGCTAATGTATATCATCATCATCATCATCAGTCCAATGACCGAGTGTGGTCGTAGGGTTGTTGCGCTGCTAAACACATGAAAATCTCCCCTTTTTGTGTTGAAAACCGGAAAGGTACTTATTCATATGCAGCGTGTCGTTGGCAGGTATACCTGGCGGAGCTCATCCCTCCCCAGGTCAAACCACAGCCGATGTTTTCCAACTTGAAGGCTCGTCGCCCTGAGTATGACGATAAACTGCATCCGTGTCCTGGGTATGCCGAGAAACTGCATCCGACGGTGGAACCTCTGTTCGAGAGGATTTAAGGAGCGTGGAATCACGTCTTAAGCGCTGGTTTTGATACCAGAAATACTTTGTTAAAAAATGATTCCCAGTGGTGGATTTTTAAAGAAAATAATTATTACAGCAATTCATTTTTTTAAAGGGACCGGGATATTACCAGCAATACATTTATGAAAAAAAAATACCAACTATACATTTTTGAAAAAAAATATACCAAAAATACATTACATTAAAAATATACCAGCAATACATTACATTAAATATACCAGCAATACATTACATTAAAAATATACCAGCAATACATTACATTAAATATACCAGCAATACATTGCATTAAAAATATACCAGCAATACATTACATTAAATATACCAGCAATACATTGCATTAAAAATATACCAGCAATACATTACATTAAAAATATACCAGCAATACATTACATTAAATATACCAGCAATACATTGCATTAAAAATATACCAGCAATACATTGCATTAAAAATATACCAGCAATACATTACATTAAAAATATACCAGCAATACATTACATTAAATATACCAGCAATACATTGCATTAAAAATATACCAGCAATACATTACATTAAATATACCAGCAATTATTGCATTAAAAATATACCAGCAATACATTACATTAAAAATATACCAGCAATACATTACATTAAATATACCAGCAATACATTGCATTAAAAATATACCAGCAATACATTACATTAAATATACCAGCAATACATTGCATTAAAAATATACCAGCAATACATTGCATTAAAAATATACCAGCAATACATTACATTAAAATATACCAGCAATACATTACATTAAATATACCAGCAATACATTGCATTAAAATATACCAGCAATACATTACATTAAATATACCAGCAATACATTGCATTAAAAAAATATACCAGCAATACATTACATTAAATATACCAGCAATACATTGCATTAAAAAATATACCAGCAATACATTACATTAAATATACCAGCAATACATTGCATTAAAAATATACCAGCAATACATTGCATTAAAAATATACCAGCAATACATTACATTAAATATACCAGCAATACATTGCATTAAAAATATACCAGCAATACATTACATTAAATATACCAGCAATACATTGCATTAAAAATATACCAGCAATATATTACATTAAAAATATACCAGCAATACATTACATTAAAATATACCAGCAATACATTGTATTAAAAATATACCAGCAATACATTACATTAAATATACAGCAAGCAATACATTGCATTAAAATATACCAGCAATACATTACATTAAATATACCAGCAATACATTACATTAAATATACCAGCAATACATTGCATTAAAAAATATACCAGCAATACATTACATTAAATATACCAGCAATACATTGCATTAAAAATATACCAGCAATACATTACATTAAAAATATACCAGCAATACATTACATTAAATATACCAGCAATACATTGCATTAAAAATATACCAGCAATACATTACATTAAATATACCAGCAATACATTGCATTAAAAATATACCAGCAATACATTACATTAAAATATACCAGCAATACATTACATTAAAAATATACCAGCAATACATTACATTAAATATACCAGCAATATATTGCATTAAAAATATACCAGCAATACATTAAATTAAAAATACATTGCATTAAAAAATATACCAGCAATACATTACATTAAATATACCAGCAATACATTGCATTAAAAATATACCAGCAATACATTACATTAAAAATATACCAGCAATACATTACATTAAATATACCAGCAATACATTGCATTAAAAATAACCAGCAATACATTACATTAAAATATACCAGCAATACATTACATTAAAAAATATACCAGCAATACATTGCATTAAAATATGCATTAAAATATACAGCAATACATTACATTAAATATACCAGCAATACATTGCATTAAAATATACCAGCAATACATTACATTAAATATACCAG